CTCGGGGTCCCAGAGCCATGGAGCCCTCGGGCAGCCTGTTTCCCTCCTTGGTGGTCGTGGGCCACGCTGTCACCCTGGCTGCTGTGTGGCACTGGCGCAGGGGGCGCCGGCAGGCGCAGGATGAGCAAGGTAAGCCCTGGCGGCTGCTGCTGAGGGCTGCTGGCGCCAGCCACCGCCGCCCCTGCCAGAGGGGGCCGGAGGCGGGGCGGGGGCGAGGGGCCGCCTCCCTCCCACCCCGGCATTTCCTTGTTCCCTCCCCTTCCTGTGCTGGCCACAGCAGCACATGGTCGTCCCGGCCTCCCACCCTGCCCTGGGGACCCTGCCTGCTCCACTGGACAGGCCGTGGCTGTGGCTCCACTCTGGGCAGCCGTGTGGGGGAGAGGCTGGGGCCGGGGTCTGGACAGGGGCCCGGGCACTGCAGGTGCGCCCCTTCGGAAGCGAGGCCCCTCCCTGTGGCTAGGGACAGGGTGAGCCCAGGTGGCTGTCAACACGGGAACCGCAGGTGCAGGTGTCCTCCTCCCTCCTACCTGGACTGAGGTCCCGCCCACTGCGCGAGGCTGCGCCGCAGTCGAGGCAGGTGCCTGCACACCCTCAGCCAGCACCCAGGACGGGCGCGGGGCGGTCGGCCAGCCTGCACCCTGCCCCCGGCTCAAAGTCACCGCTCTGGGCTGCAGCCCCACACGGGCGGGCGGGGCCGGCCTCCGCTCCGGGAACGAGCCGGCTTCTGGCCAGGGGACTGCCTAACGGGGATGTGGAGGGTGTGTTCTGCTCTGCGCCCAGCGCACCTGGCGTGTGGGGCTCCTCCGCGGTGGAGGTGGCCAGGCTGCCCCCGGCAGGCCTGCTCGCTCTCAGCCTCGGCGCCAGACCTGGTGGCCCTTGGATCTGAGCCGGACGGGGCTTCTAGGCGTGGTTTTTGCGGCCACGGAGTGTGTGGTGACTCAGCTGCGTTCAGTGAAAGGCACAGGCCAGGTCTGCCCCTTGGATCTGGCCCCCCCCAAACTCAGCCTACTCTTGTCCCCTGTCCCCAAGTGGGGAAGGGGCTTCCATTTGGCCACTCTCCTGGCTGCTCCCTGTCTCCACTGCTCAGCGGTGCCCCTGGGGCCCGGGTACCTCCGTCCTGGCCACCCTCGGCCCGCTGCTCCCTGCCCCTCCCCCCGCCTCTCCAGCGCATCCTGCCGGGAGCCTCCTGGCGGGGAGATTCCCAGCTCCTGGGCGTCCCCCGGGACTCCCGTCCTGGGCAGCCCCTGCGTTCCCAGGCCTCCTGTCCTCGTGGGCAGCCGCCCCTGCGCCAGCCCCGCAGGGCAGCAGGGCCCTCTCCCTCCAAGTGGGGGTGCGGCTTCCGGGACGGCACTGGGCGGGGCGCCCCACTAGGGGCAGGTTCTTCGGGTCTGGGCTGCGTGCCGCGCGCTGCTGCTGGCAGCGGGGGAGGGTGTGGGGCGCAGAGCCGGGCTTCGCGGCGTGGGCTGGGGAGCAGAGGCACCGCCGTGCCGCGTGCCCTCGTTCTTCGCCACCGGGACTGCGGGGTGCCCGCTCATGGCGGGGGCCAGTGCGTGGGGGGCGGGAGGCGCCTTCGCTGCGCGGGAGGTCTTGCTGGAGCAGCGGTGCTGGCTGGACGGGGGCTGTGAGCAAGCCCGCAGGGGCTACCTCTACGGGCAGCTGTGCTGCGTAGGTGGGTGCGGTGCGGAGGGGGGAGAGGTGGTGGCAGGGGGAGGGGGGGAACTGCTGCCAGCCGGGGGGAAGGGGCGGTGCCCGTCCCAGGTGCAGCCCCGCCCCGCCCTCGGTTCCGGAAACACCTGGGAGGAAACACCTGGGAGGAAGGCGGGGCGGTGTCCCCCAGCCCCGTCAATCCCTTCGCTGCAGCCGGGGGAGGTGGGCGGGGCCCGCTGGCGGGGATTTGGCCTTGGGTTCTGGGCACCGGGCAGTTGGCAGCCCGGACTGGAAGGGGGAGGAGGGAAGGCGGGCAGGGGGGCGTGGCTCCACGGGGGCTTCCCGTCCCGGATGCGGCTTCCTGAGTTGGGGGACCTCCGACTCTAGTTCTCACATCTGTTTTTACAGGGGTGCCCCTCGGAGGACCACGGGCAGCTCCAGGGGACACTGGGCTGGTGGCAGAAAGTCAGCTGCTTCGCATAGTTCAGGGGTCAGGCACATGTGTAGGAGCCAGTGCTGGGCCGTGTCCTGGGGGAGACCGCGGAGGAGTGCAGCCGGGTTGGAGCCAGTGGCCTGGCAGGGAGCCAGGGGCCTGGCCGGGGGCACAGGGGGCTGGGCCAGCCTGGGAGACGCTGTCCATGGGCTTGAGGGCCCGAGCAGGAAGGACCGGGGCTGGGAGGGAGGAGGGGGGGAGGGTGAGCTCTGAGACCCCCGGGGGCTCCGAGGGGGAGTCTCCCAGGGGCACGCTGCACCGCCGCCCCACCCCCTGTGCAGGCCCCAGCGGCCAAGAAGGCTGGGCAAGGGGCTGGGCTGGGGCCTGGGCTCACGCCAGCCTTGGACAGCAGGCCCGACCTCCTTTAGGTTCCAGCTTCCGCGCTCCCAGAGCCCCCTGCCGGCCCCTTCCCCGGGGCCCCTGGCCTCTGTCCCCTTTTACCAAAAAGACCCCTGCCCGTGGCCTCCCTGCCGCCGCTGGCCCAGCCCAGAGCCCACACGGAGCAGGTGCTCAACCCCGGTTCCCGAGCTGTGGACTGCTGCTGGGCGGAGGGTCCGCCCGCGGCGCTGCAGGCCTGAGGAGGGGGCTGGTGGGCGTGCTGGGGGCTGTGAGCCGTGGGGTCAGATTTAGGATTTCGTTGAGATTCTCTCAGGAGACGGAAGCGCAGACGGTGGGGCTGTGGGGGCCGCTGAGCGGCTCAGCCCCTCCGGCCCGGGGCAGGCGGGGAGTAGGGGAGGGAAGTGTCTGCAGGTGGAGCCAAGGGGTCTTTCCGCCTGTGGGCGGGACTAAGTTTAAGGGGAGGGGGTGCTTGGCCAGCTCCTCCAGGCTTGGGCCCCACCCCGTGGGGTTTGGGCGCCCTCCTGTGGCCACAGCGGGCAGCACACATGGGGTGGGGTGAGCTTTTCCCGGAACGGGGCCCTGAGTGCTGGGGGGGCGGTGCTCACAGCTGGATCACATCAAGCCAGATGCTCCGACTGGAAAATTCTTGTGGTCTGGGCGGCGCATTCCTTCCTCTGGCGAGTCCCCCGAGCTGGCCGCGGGCAGCTCCGCGGCTGCACCCTTTGCCCCGTCTTCCACCTTTACAGCCCTGAACGGCTCTTATCTGGGAGCCCTGCCCAGTGCAAACAGCCCCACCCGTCCTGTGCCCACTGCCCCAGAGCAGCTTCCTCTCCCGTGAGTCACTGCCTGAGCCCCCTCCCCAGCCCTGACTCACTGGCAGGGGGGGGGGCCTCTGAGTGCTCGCCCCCTCCCAGCGAGGGGCAGAGTTCCTGGGCTCCGCTCCGGGCTGGGCCGTGAGTCAGGGCTCAGCTATGTGCTGCTCCTGCCGCCGCGCGCTGTGCCTGCCGGCAGGAGCACCCAGTGGGCAGCCCGGCCGGCCCAGACCTGTGCGGGACCGGGCGGGGGGGGGGGGGGGGCGGCCGATAGGGCCGAGCAGAGCCCAGCGGGGGCTGTGGCCGTGGCGGGGCACGTGGGTCTGAGGAGAGGTGGGCTTTAGGCAGCTGCAAGGCAAGGGCGGGCGGTTGGTCCCGGCCAGGCCAGGTGTCAGGCAGCCGGGGGAGTCCCTCCAGCAGGTGGGGCAGGCGTGCAGCTGGAGGGTGGCCTGGCCTGAGCCTGCTGGGCTCTCTGAAGGAAGGGGTGGCCCCGGGGACACCCTGGGTCCAGCCACACTCAGGCCCCCTCGCCGGGCTGGCGGTGGCCTTTGGGATGCAATCTGTGTGCAGTGAGGCCCCATCCCCTCACACCCCCGTCTCCCCGCAGGGCTGCGGCCGGCAGGGTGGGTGAGGAAACCCCTGGGTTTCCTGTTTCTGTCGGGGAGGGTGTGGCGGTGGGGGAGGGGCTGTCTGCCTTCTTCCCCGACACTCCCTCTGGGGGGTGGGCAGGGTGGGGTGGGGCCCGGGGGGGCGGGACGTGGTGCTGGGGAGTGGAGCGGCAGGGAGTGGCCTCACCACCTCGACTGGGAGCTCGGCCGCTGCCGAGGGAGAGCGTCCTTTGCCGCGTCGCCAGCCGTAGCCGCTGGTGTGCACTTGGGGAGACAGAGCACAGCACCTGGGGGCCAGGGACTAGGCGCCGAGGGGCGGGGTGGCAGCATGTCTCAGCACCAGCTCCGCGTGCCCGAGCCCCAGGCCTTTGGCCACAAGAGAACCAGCTCAGAGGACAACCTCTACCTGGCTGTGCTCAGGGCCTCGGAGGGCAAGAAAGGTAGTGGGCGCTGCTCCTGGGCAGGGCAGGCTGAGGCGGGAAGGGCCCGCTTCCTGTGGCAGGAAGCGGGGCTCTGGGTGGGGCCCAGGCTCTGAGGGTCTGAGTTTTGGGGGACAGCCTCCGATAGGGCGGGGACCTTGGGCGGTACGCTGTGCAGGCCCGAATGCAGAGCTGCCTGGCCGCGGCCCCTGGGCCTTGGGTGTACGGCCGTGGCGGTGGGGGCTCTCTGCCCTGCACAAGGCCTCTACCCTGTTGGGACCACACGGTGCCCCCTTGCCACCCCCCGGCCAGGCCTGGGTCCTGGCCCGGAACCTCCCTGCTTAGGTCTCCAGGAGGCAGCCTGTGCGGGGACGGGGCAGGCTGGGACTTGTGCGCCCCGGGCTCTGGGCGCGGCTGCCAGCTCTGGACCCTCCCCTCTCAGGAGGGAGACAATAGGGGGCCTGAGCAGCAGGTACCTACTGCGCCCCCGCTCCCCTCCCTGCCCTCTCAGGGCTGGCTGGGCCTGGGCGCCAGGTCTGTGCCCGTCAGGGGGATGGCGCCGGGTCTCGGTGTGGTTCTGAGTCCCTCTGTGGGCGCCGGGCTCCGTGTCTTCATGGGGTCACCTCCCGGGGGCTGTAAGGGCCTCTCCCTGGCCCCTGGTAACCGGCCTTGTCTCCCCCAGATGAGCGGGACCGTGTGCAGAAGAAAACCTTCACCAAGTGGGTCAACAAGCACCTCATCAAGGTCGGTGCCTGTGTGTGCACGTGGTGGGGGCTGAGGAGCGCGGGTCGGGGTGAAGGGGGGCGCCCCTGGCCCTCCAGGCAAAGCCAGCGCCGCCGGCAGGGTCCCACCGGCCTGGGACCTCACCCTTTATCTCAAAACTGTGACTTTCTGTCTTCCTCTGCTTCCTCCTGTCTCCTCCTCCTCCTCTTCCTTCTCCTGGACTCTCCGGGCCTCCCTCACCTGTGCTGTAGCACTGGAGGGCCGAGGTAGGTGCCTCCGAGCCCTGGGGTGGTTCTGAGGGCTCCCTGCCTCTTGCTTTCCGGGCCGGTGCTCCCCCGACCCCCAGGGCCTGCTGGTGGCTCCTCGGAGCCGAGGCCAACCCTTGCCCCGCCCTTGCCCCGCAGGCCCAGAGGCACATCAGCGACCTGTACGAAGATCTCCGTGATGGCCACAACCTCATCTCCCTGCTGGAGGTGCTCTCAGGGGACAGCCTGGTACGTGCCCTCGCCACCCGCCCCTCCGCAGCCCCTCCTGCCTCCCCCGGACAACCCCCTGCCTTCCCTCCTTGAGGCCCGGCCCGGCCGCGACCCCCTGCTGTGGGCGCACGGCCCTGCTGCTCTCCTCGTCCAAACCCTGACACAGTAACCTCATGCTCTGCTCTGCTTTGGTTTCTCTGCTGCTTGGACTCTGAACCTTGACCTCTGCCCTTTACCCTTTGCCCTGCTCTGGCCGGGCAGCCAAGAGAGCGGGACTTAATCAGGAGCTCGCGCCTGGTGAGTGGTTGTGCCCTCCGGCCACGGCGGCACGTGGGCTCCCTGAGCCCGGAGCCCAGCTCACTTGGGACTGGTGGCCTGTCTGGCCCAGCCGGGGCCTGGCGCTCGGGTGGGCGGATGGCCCTCTGTCCAGCCGCCTGCTGTGCTGCCCAGGGCCAGGCCGGGACCTGCCGGGGCTGCCACCAAGAGCAGGGGGACCCCTCCCCCAATGCCACTGCCCTCCACCCGCCCGCGGCTTCCTGGCTATTGTCTCTTCCCCAGCCCTTTCCTTCCTTCCCACAGCCTGGGCCTGGCTGCTGGACTTCCCAAGCCCCCGCTGGGCCTGGCCCCTGGCCCCTCGGCCCACGGGCCCCGTAGCAGCCAGGGAGGGTGAACCGAGGGCATGGGTGGGGCTGTTGCCACCCAGGGGGAGACCCCGGGCCCAGGCGCACGGAGGCCCCGGGGTGCTGAGGGCGGGCGAGGGCCGCGCCTCCGCCCCATGGAGGCTGACCAGCCTGCCCCCCGCAGCCCCGGGAGAAGGGGAGGATGCGCTTCCACAAGCTGCAGAACGTGCAGATCGCCCTGGACTACCTCCGCCACCGCCAGGTGAGGCCCCCTCCGCCCCGCCGCAGGCCCGGCCCCTCCTCGCGCAGCCTGCCGGTGCGACAGGAGCTGCTTGCTTGCAGGTGAAGCTGGTGAACATTAGGAATGACGACATTGCGGATGGCAACCCCAAGCTGACCCTCGGCCTGATCTGGACCATCATCCTGCACTTCCAGGTAGGGGGGCCGCCCGCCGCCTTCTGCCGCTGCCGCTGCCTCCAGGGCGGCCCTGGGGCTGGGGCCCTGGCTTCCTGGTACCTGGAGCCTCCTCCCGCCCGTGCCCAGTCCACGCCCCAGCCCACGCCCCAGCCCTGTGCTGGCTCCGTGGCCTGCGGGCCCAGGTCTCTCTCGGAGGCCTCCCTGCAGAGGTATGCGTGCCCTGCTGGTACAGCCGCCTGCCGGGGAAGGTTCTGGAGAAACACCCCCTGCTCTGGCTGACTCATCTGTTGCCTGCCTGGCTGCACAGGAAGCCGCAAATCTGAGAGCTGGGCAGGCACAGCCCTGCTGGCATGGCAGCTGAGTCACACGGGCGTGCAGGCCGACAGACAGACGGGCAGGCAGGCGGGTGTACAGACAGCCCGACGGGCTGGCAGGCCCAGGCCTGAGCTGCCGGGCGCACCGTGCCCAGACCCACAGACCCGACCCCAGCCTGCAGCCAGAGAGGGGGCTGACGGCTCCACCCCCACCCACACAGCCTTTCCTGGGCTGGGGTTTGGGGGCGAGCCCTGGAGCCTGCAGCTGGGGTTCAGGGTGTGCCCCAGGCCACGTGACCCCTGCCGAGGGAGTCCGGGGCACCCACCATGAGTCTGCAGCGGGGGCTGGGGCTGGGGCTCTGGCTTCCTCTGCGGCAGCGGCTGGTTGGGGTGGCCAAAGCTCAAGGGGTTGCAGGGTGGTGGGTCCCAGCGGCTCCTCTGCTGGCCTGGTGGCTCCTGTGGGCCAGGCCACCGCACCGTCGGACGAGGGGCGGGGGGCGGCGTGGCTGAGCTCAGGCCTCCCGCCCGCCTCCGGGCAGATCTCGGACATCCAGGTGAGCGGGCAGTCCGAGGACATGACGGCCAAGGAGAAGCTGCTGCTGTGGTCCCAGCGCATGGTGGAGGGCTACCCGGGCCTGCGCTGCGACAACTTCACCTCCAGCTGGCGCGACGGCCGCCTCTTCAACGCCATCATCCACCGGCACAAGTAGGCGGCCGGCGGGGCCGGAAGCGGGGCTGGGGGTCGGGGGCGCCCTGGAGCAGCTCCGCTGGTGACTTCCAACTAGTCGGAGGGGGAGGGGCGTCTCCCACTGGCAGGGACCCGCTGCCCGCGGGCACGAGTGCCCGTGCCAGCCTCCTCCCCGGGGGGCGCAGGCCCAGCCCCGCCCGCGCCCACGTGTCTCCCCCCCCCCGGCCCGGCGTCCTCAGGGCCCGCAGGCTGCTGCCTCTCCCCGCTGCGCGCGTCTGCCCCAGCAGGGGTCTGGACGGCTGACCTCAGTGCCCGCCCAGGACCCGGGGACAGGGTGGCCGCGGGGAGCCCTCCACTCGGGGCCCTGCCTGCACCTGCGCCCGCTGTCGGCCCGTCACTGAGGCGGGGCCCACCGCGCACGGGGCTCCCTGTGTGGGCAAGGCTGGGCGCTACTGCGGTGGGCAGTGAGTTTGTCCAGGGGAGCTGGGTCTGCCTGTGGGGTGCACAGGCGCCCCCAGGCCGTGCTGCCCCCGTTCCTACCTGCCCGCCCCACTGGCCGCTTTGTCCGCAGGCCCACGCTGGTTGACATGAACAAGGTGTACAGTCAGGCCAACCAGGAGAACCTGGACCAGGCCTTCTCCGTGGCAGAGCGGGAGCTGGGAGTGACTCGACTCCTGGACCCTGAGGGTGTGTGCTGCTGCCCCCGCCTCGCCCCCCCCCCCCCCCGCTGCCTGCAGGAGGCCCTCTGACCTTTCTCCCCCGCAGACGTGGACGTCCCTCAGCCCGACGAGAAGTCCATCATCACGTACGTCTCGTCCCTGTACGACGCCATGCCCCGCGTGCCTGACGTGCAGGACGGGGTGAAGGCCAACGTGAGTGGCTGGTGGGCCCGGGCGGTGGGCGGGGCGGGCGGGGGGGTGGGGACGCGCCCCGACTGCCCTGCTCACCCCCAGGAGCTGCAGCTGCGCTGGCAGGAGTACCGGGAGCTGGTGCTGCTGCTGCTGCAGTGGGTCCGGCACCACACCGCCGCCTTCGAGGAGCGCAAGTTCCCTTCCAGCTTCGAGGAGATCGAGGTGGGCCCGTCTGCTCGGGCGGGGCCCTGGGCCTGCCGCGGGGGCCCAGGCCTGGCTGCTGACATCGCTGTCCCCACAGATCCTGTGGTGCCAGTTCTTGAAGTTTAAGGAAACAGAGCTTCCGGCCAAGGAGGCCGACAAGAACCGGTCCAAGGTCATCTACCAGTCCCTGGAGGTGAGTGGGGGCCCAGAGGGCAGTGAGTGGGGGGTGTTTCAGAGGTAAGTAGGGGGCATCCCAGGAGTGAGCGAGGCTGCCCGGCGTGGTTCCCCTCGGTGACCAGGGCCGTTCCAGGCTGGGCGGACTGGGGCCCGGACGGCTCGGTGCCCGCACGCCCCTGCGGCCGAGGCCTGAGCGTGGCTCCCGCCCACAGGGAGCAGTGCAGGCAGGCCAGCTCAAGGTGCCCCCCGGCTACCACCCGCTGGACGTGGAGAAGGAGTGGGGCAAGCTGCACGTGGCCATCCTGGAGCGGGAGAAGCAGCTCCGTAGCGAGTTTGAGAGGTGGGTGGCGCTGGGGCTGGGGAGGCTGCGGTTGGCCGGGCGGGGCCCTGTGGCGGCAGGGAAGCCACCCGAGAGTGAGTCACTGCCTGGGGAGGAAATCCCCCCACACTGGGAAACCCACACTCGGCCCGTGCGACAGCGGCCTCCACACTGGCTGCTGGGGAGGCCGGGAGCAGCAGGGCCCTGCTCCTCCTCGGGGAGCCCGGCCGCAACCCCTCTCCTTGGTCCCGTGGGTGTTGGGCACAGGCTGGAGTGTCTGCAGCGCGTCGTCAGCAAACTGCAGATGGAGGCTGGGCTGTGTGAGGAGCAGCTGAACCAGGCCGACGCCCTGCTGCAGTCGGTGAGGGGCGGGGACTGCGAAGGGGGGGGCTGCTGGGGCGGGGCTGTGCAGTGAGGCGGGGCCTGCTGGCCCCCAGCTCCGCCCTCCTGGTGTGCGGCCAACTCCAACTGCGCGCTTGGGGCTGAGCTGGCTTCTGGGCACCTGGCAGGACACAGCCGAGGCTGCCTGCAGGGAGGGTGTGGTGGGGAGCGAGAGGCCAGGAACCGTGGATGAGGCCACGAATGGTCTGGCTGCTTGGACCCAGAGAGGCCTGGGACCAGGGCACCGCCCCCCCGCCACCCTGAGCCAGGGCTGGCATTTATGCATCAGGAAGATGCATGAGGAGGGAAGGGGAAAGGCCGGGCCGGGCCTGAGTTGGGGCGACCTCCTTGCAGGACATCCGGCTGCTGGCTGCAGGCAAGGTGCCGCAGCGGGCAGGCGAGGTGGAGCGGGACCTGGACAAGGCGGACGGCATGATCCGGCTGCTGTTCAATGACGTCCAGACCCTGAAGGATGGGCGGCACCCACAGGGCGAGCAGATGTACCGCAGGTGGGCCGAGCCCCACAGCTCTGCGGGGGGCCCGGGGGCCAGGGGCAGCCGGCTCCCTGCTCACGCCTCCCGACGGCCCCACTGCCCCCAGGGTGTACCGCCTGCACGAGCGCCTGGTGGCCATACGCACCGAGTACAACCTCCGGCTGAAGGCAGGCGTCACCGCCCCCGGGACCCAGGTGACCCAGGTGACCCAGGTGATGGTGCAGAGCACGCAGCGGCGCCCTGAGCTCGAGGACTCCACTCTGCGCTACCTGCAGGACCTGCTGGCCTGGGTGGAGGACAACCAGCGCCGGGTGGACAGCGCCGAGTGGGGCATGGACCTGCCCAGCGTGGAGGCCCAGCTGGGCAGCCACCGCGGCCTGCACCAGTCCATCGAGGAGTTCCGGGCCAAGATCGAGCGGGCGCGGACTGACGAGGTGAGCGGGGGGCCCGTGGGGCGGGCCGGGCGGGCTGGGCGGGCCGCGTCCGGGCTGCACAGGCCTCACTCTGCTTGTCCACGGCAGGGCCAGCTCTCCCCGGCCATCCGGGGCGCCTACCGAGACTGCCTGGGCCGGCTGGACCTGCAGTATGCCAAGCTGCTGGTGAGTGGGGGCCGGGGGTCGGCGGGGCGTTGGGGCGGCGGGCGGCGGGGCGGCGGTCTGCTCACACGCCTGCTTGCGTCCAGAACTCCTCCAAGGGCCGCCTGCGGGCCCTGGAGAGCCTGCACGGCTTTGTGGCGGCCGCCACCAAGGAGCTGATGTGGCTGAGTGAGAAGGAGGAGGAGGAGGTGGGCTTCGACTGGAGCGAGCGCAACACCAACATGGCCGCCAAGAAGGAGAGCTATTCGGTGAGGCGCCCGCACCCTCCCACGGCTGTCCCCCGGCCCGCGGCCCCTTGGTGGCCGCGGGCAGGGCCTGGAGGGAGACCGGCCGATCCGGTGTGGCCCCCACGCCATCCCTGAGACCGGCTGCCTTCGTGCCAGGCCCTGATGCGTGAGCTGGAGCTGAAGGAGAAGAAAATCAAGGAGATTCAGAACACCGGAGACCGGCTGCTGCGGGAGGACCACCCGGCACGGCCCACGGTGGAGGTGGGGCTGCGGGGCCAGGGGCTGCGGGAGGACCACCCGGCGCGGCCCACGGTGGAGGTGGGGCTGTGGGGCCGGGGGCTGCAGGGCCGGGGCCGGGGGCTAACAGGGGCCGGGGGGGCTGCAGTCCTTCCAGGCGGCTCTGCAGACCCAGTGGAGCTGGATGCTACAGCTGTGCTGCTGCGTGGAGGCTCACCTGAAGGAGAACACCGCCTACTTCCAGGTGAGGCTGCTCCTACCTGCTTCGTGGGGGCGGCCCCCAGGGGCCCCCAGGCAGCCGCTGCAGACACGTGGCCCTGCCCTGTCCCCAGGCGCCCTCTCTGGCTGCACTCGTGTCCCAGTGTCCCCGGCCCCTCTGCCCAGCCTGATCCTTTCCCGTCGCGTAGTTCTTTTCAGACGTCCGGGAGGCTGAGGAGCAGCTGCGGAAGCTTCAGGAGACGCTGCGCAGGAAGTACACCTGTGACCGCTCCATCACCGTCACCCGCCTCGAGGACTTGCTGCAGGACGCCCAGGTGAGCCGGCCATGCAGGGGTTGGGGTGGAGGGCAGGCGGAAGGGTAGAGGGGCTGGGAGAGGTGGGGGCATTCGGGCAGCACTGGCACTCTGGGAAGGTCCTCCTGGAGGTGGGGCGGGGTGAGAGGCACAGGCAGCTTCAGGGCCGACGCCTGAGCCGCAGCCTCCGACGGTGCTTGGTGGGTTTGGCCCTTGGAGGACGCCACTGTGACCTGGGACGGGCTGGGCACTCAGGCCCTGGCCAGAAGGAAGGGAAGTCTGCGGCAACTGTTGGAGGCCAGGCCCTGGGGACCTGCCTCGGTCACATCTGCGGCTCCCAAGTGTGCAGCCCCTGCGCTGGGGCAGCGGGAGGGACCCCGGGTTGCAGGCGGGCCTGTGGGCCTTCGCAATCTGCGGCCCAGGCACGTGGTGTCTGGACACCGGAGGGGGTCCCTGAGCTGCCCCTCCCCCGCAGGACGAGAAGGACCAGCTGAATGAGTACCGGGGGCACCTCTCAGGCCTTGCCAAGCGGGCCAAGGCCATCGTGCAGCTGAAGCCCCGCAACCCAGCCCACCCCGTGCGGGGCCGCGTGCCGCTGCTGGCCGTGTGTGACTACAAGCAGGTGGAGGTGAGGCGGGGCGGCAGGGCTTGCTCAGCAAGGGGCGCGGGGGCGGGGGGTGGTGTGGGCGTGGCCGTGCTGACAGCGCGGCTTCCCCAGGTGACTGTGCACAAGGGCGACGAGTGCCAGCTGGTGGGCCCCATGCAGCCGTTCCACTGGAAGGTGGCCAGCAGCTCCGGCAGCGAGGCCGCTGTGCCCTCCGTGTGCTTTCTCGTGCCCCCGCCCAACCAGGAGGCCCAGGAAGCCGTCTCCAGGTGCGTGGCCTGGGTCTGGTCGCTGGGGTGGGGGGCGGGGCGGGTGCCTGGCACCTCTGACCGAGCCCCCGACCCACCAGGCTGGAGGCCCAGCACCAGACCCTGGTTACGCTGTGGCACCAGCTGCACGTGGACCTGAAGAGCCTCCTGGCTTGGCAGAGCCTCAGCCGCGACATGCAGCTCATCCGCTCCTGGTCCCTGGTCACGGTAGGGCAGGGCCGCACGGGGGCGGGGGGGGGCAGCTTCCTGGGCGAGCCTGCGCCCGTGCTCAGCCGCCTGTGCCGCCGCAGTTCCGCACGCTGAAGCCCGAGGAGCAGCGCCAGGCCTTGCGCAACCTGGAGCTGCACTACCAGGCCTTCCTGAGGGACAGCCAGGACGCCAGCAACTTCGGGCCCGAAGACCGGCTGCAGGCCGAGCGCGAGTACAGCGCCTGCAGCCACCAGTACCAGCAGCTGCTGCAGAGCCTGGAGCAGGGTAGGTGCCCCCGCAGCCCAAGCCGGCGGCCGGGCAGCGGGCCGGGGCCAGGGCCGGGGCCGGGCAGCGTCTGAGTGGCTCGTGTCCCCAGGCGAGCAGGAGGAGTCCCGCTGTCAGCGCTGCATCTCGGAGCTCAGGGACATCCGGCTGCAGCTGGAGGCCTGCGAGACGCGCACGGTGCACCGCCTGCGGCTGCCGCTGGACAAGGAGCCTGCGCGGGAGTGCGCCCAGCGCATCGCGGAGCAGCAGGCAGGCGCTGCCCCCTCCCCGCTCCCCGGGGCCCCCCAGGGGTGCTGTGGCTGGGCTCTGTGCTCAGTCTGTGTCTTGCTCTCCCCCCCAGAAAACTCAGGCTGAGGTGGAGGGGCTGGCCCAGGGGGTCACCCGGCTCTCGGAGGAGGCCGAGAAGGTCCTGGCTCTGCCCGAGCCATCACCTGCCGCCCCGACCCTGCGCTCAGAGCTGGAGCTGACCCTGGGCAAGCTGGAACAGGTCCGCAGCCTCTCCGCCATTCACCTAGAGAAGTGAGTGCCCGTTGGCAGCCGCAGCGGCGATCGCAGGCGGGTGCTGAGCGAGGGGCCCCGGACCAGCTGGTGGGCGGGGTCGGTGGGGATCTGGCCAAGAGGTGGTGGGTGTGAGCCAAGGTGGGTGTCACGGGCTTGAACAGGGGTTCAGTCCTGTGCCTTGGAGGTGGGACTTCCAGACAGCTGGACCTGGGGTGGGGCTGCGGGAGGGAGGACTGGGCAGGGCACCCCATCTGGGTCCCATCAGGAGCTGGCAGTGACTGAGGGAAGTACAGGCCAGGCACAGGCAGGAGCGAGAGCCCCGCAGGGTCAGGGACGCCCACGGAGAGCTGGCCCTTGCCAGTGAGTCTGGGGGTGGTGCCAGTGACCCCGAGGAAGGGGCCTCTGGGAGAGGGCAGGGACGAGCATCTGGGAAGGACAAGTAGGAGGTGGGGCAGCGGGCGAGGTGGCAGAGGAGCGTGGCTGTAAGAGGGGCCCACGCGGAGGTCTTTCTTGGGGGCCTACGCGCTCTCCTGTCTCCTGACTGCCCTCCCCCCCCGTCCTTTCTGGCCCCATTGCCCCAGGGGAGTAGAGTCCTCTCCAGGGCCCCTTCCTCCTGCCAACTTCGGGTGCCCCCCGCCGCCCGGGGACCTCGCGTGTCCTTTACGGTTCGCTTCAGTGTGCGCGCACGGCTCCCTGGCTCACGTTCAGCGGCAGAATGAGAAATCCTGCGGCCTCCCCCTTGGTCCCATCCTGGACTCACCCTCCCAGGCCCAGCCTGTTTCCCACGTCCTGGTTCCCACACGTCATATCCCAGTCTCTCACGATACTGCTTCAGAAATAGGCCCACGTTCCTTCACCAAGGCCCCCGTGTGTCCCTTCTCACCTGGCCTCCAGGCTGGAAGGCTGAGAGCCTCCAGGCCACGGGTATCGTTGGCTGTGCCTCCAGCCACCACAGCCTCCCTCCCGAGGCTGGAGCGGATGCTTCCCCATGTCCCGGAGGGCCCCGCGCAGTCTCCCCCTTGACCACCGGGGCACTGGCCTGACCACGTTGGGCTGCTACTGCCACGAGCCTGCCCCCACGCCCGGCTCTGGGCCCTGCTCTTCCCCAGGCTCAAGACCATCAGTCTGGTGATCCGCAGCACACAGGGGGCCGAGGAGGTGCTCAGGGCCCACGAGGAGCAACTCAAGGAGGCCCAGGCTGTCCCTGCCACTCTCCCGGAGCTCGAAGCCACTAAGGCTGCACTGAAGGTACCGCTTTCAGGCCAGTGCCTCCCGGGGGGCCAGAGGGCATCGGGGGCCGGCAGCAGGGCCCTGGGCTGACCCCGCACCCCTCTGCTCCCCGCAGAAGCTGCGGGCCCAGGCGGAGGCGCAGCAGCCCACGTTTGACGCCCTGCGGGATGAGCTGCGGGGGGCGCAGGAGGTGGGCGAGCGGCTGCAGCAGCGGCACGGGGAGCGGGACGTGGAGGCGGAGCGCTGGCGCGAGCGCGTGGCCCAGCTCCTGGAGCGCTGGCAGGCCGTGCTGGCCCAGGTCGATGTGCGGCAGCGCGAGCTCGACCAGCTGGGCCGCCAGCTGCGTTACTACCGGGAGAGCGCGGGCCCGCTGGACGCCTGGCTGCAGGACGCCAAGCAGCGGCAGGAGCAGATCCAGGCGGTGCCTCTGGCCAACAGCCGGGCTGTGCGGGAGCAGCTGCGGCAGGAGAAGGTGGGCCTGGGCCGGCGGGGCGGGGGCGGGGGCGGGGGCGGCGCCTGTGCTGACCGCCCGTTCCCCAGGCGCTGCTGGAGGAGATCGAGCGCCACGGGGAGAAGGTGGAGGAGTGCCAGAGGTTCGCCAGGCAGTACATCAACGCCATCAAGGTGAGGTCTCTGCCGCCGGGCCTGGCCGGTGGGGTTGGGCGGGGCCCGCCGTGGCTGACCTGTGTTCCCCGCAGGACTACGAGCTCCAGCTGGTCACCTACAAGGCACAGCTTGAGCCGGTGGCCTCTCCGGCCAAGAAAGCCAAGGTCCAGTCAGGCGCTGAGAGCGTCATCCAGGAGGTAGGGCTGAGGGCCGTGGCTGGGGGGGGGGGCGCGTGCAGGGGGCCCGTGCTGGGGGGGGGCTCACCCTGGCTGCTTCCTTTCTCCTGCCCCAGTACGTGGACCTGCGCACGCGCTACAGCGAGCTGACCACCCTGACGAGCCAGTACATCAAGTTCATCAGTGAGACGCTGCGTCGCATGGAGGAGGAGGAGGTACGGGTGCGGGAGGTGGGGGCGTCCTGCCGCCAGGCGCAGCCCCTGGGGGTCCGTTTGCCACCGCGGAGCTCGGCCCCCGCTCCTGCTGCCTGATGCCACCAGCGCCTCCCCGAGCACGGCCTGCCCGTCGGCTGGCGCTGCTCTGCTCCGCTCCCATGGTGGCCTCCGCCGCCGCCGTCTGCGCCTGCCCTGCCACTGTTCCTCTGGCCCCTCTGGTGTCGTTCCTGCGGGTTCCCTGTTGCCGCTGATCTCGAGGAGCTGGGGGTGCCCGGTCGTGGGGCCGGGCAGCGGCTGCTCTCGGAGGGCGGGGTGCCCGGCTCTCCTGTTCTCCTGCCTCCCGGGCTGCCTTGCTCCCTGGCCCCCCTGTAGCCTCCACGGTGGTCAGAGCTGCGGGTTTTCTGCGTCTCTCTTCTGAGCTGGCTCAGGTCCGCGCTGTTGTCCCACGGCGGCCGCCCTGCCACACTCCCCCGGGTGGTGGGAACGGACGCGGGCACGCGCGATGGCAGAGCTCAGGCAGGGCTGTGTGGTGGTGCGGCTCACGGGCTCTGTGAGTCTCCTGCTTCGCTCTCTCTCTCTCCCCCCTGTCCGGCGCCTTTCTGCGGAAAGAGGGGAGGACGCCTGAGCCTCCTCCCCGGGGCTGGGGAGCACTGTGGGGCCAGGCTGCGCTCGCTGCCCCCAGTGCCCTGGCGGGTGCACGCTCCCTCCCTCGCCGGGCTGTGCCCTCTGCCCTCCCTGATCCCCCATCGCGCCGTCCAGTGGACTGTGGTGGTGCCGTGTCACGTGCGCGCCTGGCAGCGGCTGCGCACTCACCACCCTCTCTGGTTCTCTCCCTCTCTCTGCCGCGGCCGCAGAGGCTGGCCGAGCAGCAGCGGGCAGAGGAGCGGGAGCGCCTGGCGGAGGTGGAGGCCGCGCTGGAGAAGCAGCGGCAATTGGCAGAGACGCACGCACAGGCGAAGGCACAGGCAGAGCGGGAGGCGCAGGAGCTGCAGCGGCGCATGAAGGAGGAGGTGGTGCGGCGAGAAGAGGCGGCGGTGGACGCGCAGCAGCAGAAGCGCAGCATTCAGGAGGAGCTGCAGCACCTGCGGCAGAGCTCAGAGGCCGAGATCCAGGCCAAGGCCCGGCAGGCGGAGGAGGCCGAACGCAGCCGGCTGCGCATCGAGGAGGAGATCCGCGTGGTACGCCTGCAGCTGGAAACCACTGAGCGCCAGCGCAGTGGGGCTGAGGGCGAGCTGCAGGCCCTGCGTGCGCGGGCAGAGGAGGCGGAGGCGCAGAAGAGGCAGGCGCAGGAGGAGGCGGAGCGCTTGCGGCGGCAGGTGCAGGAGGAGACCCAGCGGAAGCGGCAGGCGGAGGCAGAGCTGGCCTTGCGCGTGAAGGCAGAGGCCGAGGCTGCTCGGGAGAAGCAGCGGGCTCTGCAGGCGCTGGAGGAGCTGCGGCTGCAGGCAGAGGAAGCGGACCGGCGCCTGCGGCAGGCGGAGGCTGAGCGGGCCCGTCAGGTGCAGGTGGCCCTGGAGACGGCGCAGCGCAGCGCGGCAGTGGAGCTGCAGAGCAAACGCGCCTCCTTCGCGGAGAAGACGGCGCAGCTGGAGCGCACCCTGCAGGAAGAGCACGTGACTGTGACGCAGCTGCGGGAGGAAGCGGAGCGGCGCGCACAGCAGCAGGCGGAGGCCGAGCGCGCCCGGGAGGAGGCGGAGCGGGAGCTGGAGCGCTGGCAGCTGAAGGCCAATGAGGCGCTGCGGCTGCGGCTGCAAGCCGAGGAGGTGGCGCAGCAGAAGAGCCTGGCGCAGGCCGAGGCCGAGAAGCAGAAGGAGGAGGCGGAGCGTGAGGCTAGGCGGCGTGGCAAGGCAGAGGAGCAGGCGGTGCGGCAGCGGGAGCTGGCTGAGCAGGAGCTAGAAAAGCAGCGGCAGCTGGCGGAGGGCACTGCGCAGCAGCGCCTGGCCGCAGAGCAGGAGCTTATCCGCCTGCGGGCAGAGACAGAGCAGGGGGAGCAGCAGCGGCAGCTGCTAGAGGAGGAGCTAGGGCGGCTGCAGCGCGAGGCAGCGGAAGCCACGCAAAAGCGCCAGGAACTGGAGGCTGAGCTGGCCAAGGTGCGGGCGGAAATGGAGGTGCTGTTGGCCAGCAAGGCACGGGCGGAGGAGGAGTCACGCTCCACCAGCGAGAAGTCCAAGCAGAGGCTGGAAGCCGAGGCCAGTCGGTTCCGCGAGCTGGCAGAAGAGGCTGCCCGCCTGCGCGCCCTGGCTGAGGAGGCCAAGCGGCAGCGGCAGCTGGCGGAGGAGGATGCGGCACGGCAGCGGGCCGAGGCGGAGCGGGTGCTTGCCGAGAAGTTGGCTGCCATCAGCGAGGCTACACGGCTCAAGACAGAGGCAGAGATCGCGCTGAAGGAGAAGGAGGCAGAGAATGAGCGCCTGCGACGGCTGGCGGAAGACGAGGCCTTCCAGCGGCGGCGGCTGGAGGAGCAGGCGGCCCAGCACAAGGCTGACATCGAGGAACGGCTGGCCCAGCTGCGCAAGGCATCAGAGAGCGAGCTGGAGCGGCAGAAGGGGCTGGTGGAGGACACGCTGCGGCAGCGGCGGCAGGTGGAGGAGGAGATCCTGTCCCTGAAGGCGAGCTTTGAGCGGGCGGCCGCGGGCAAGGCTGAGTTGGAGCTGGAGCTGACGCGCATCCGCAGCAACGCGGAGGACACGCTGCGCAGCAAGGAGCAGGCGGAGTTGGAGGCCACGCGGCAGCGGCAGCTGGCGGCGGAGGAGGAGCAGCGGCGCCGGGAGGCGGAAGAGCGTGTGCAGAAGAGCCTGGCGGCGGAGGAGGAGGCAGCACGGCAGCGCAAGGCGGCGCTGGAGGAGGTGGAGCGGCTCAAGGCCAAGGTGGAGGAGGCTCGGCGCTTGCGCGAGCGAGCGGAGCAAGAGTCAGCTCGGCAGCTGCAGCTGGCCCAGGACGCAGCACAGAAGCGGCTGCAAGCCGAGGAGAAGGCGCACGCGTTCGCAGTGCAGCAGAAGGAGCAGGAGTTGCAGCAGACGCTGCAGCAGGAGCAGAGTATGCTGGAGCGGCTGCGCGGCGAGGCGGAGGCGGCGCGCCGGGCGGCGGAGGAGGCGGAGGAGGCCCGGGAGCAGGCTGAGCGGGAGGCGGCGCAGTCCCGGCGGCAGGTCGACGAGGCGGAGCGACTGAAGCAGCTGGCGGAGGAGCAGGCGCAGGCCCGTGCGCAGGCGCAGGCTGCCGCGGAGAAGCTGCGCAAGGACGCCGAGCAGGAGGCGGCGCGGCGAGCGCAGGCAGAGCAGGCAGCCCTGCGACAGAAGCAGGCGGCCGACGCGGAGATGGAGAAGCACAAGAAGTTTGCGGAGCAGACGCTGCGGCAGAAGGCGCAGGTGGAGCAGGAGTTGACGACTCTGAGGCTGCAGCTGGAGGAGACTGACCACCAGAAAAGCATCTTGGACGAGGAGCTGCAGCGGCTGAAGGCGGAGGTGACAGAGGCTGCCCGGCAGCGCAGCCAGGTGGAGGAGGAGCTGTTCTCTGTGCGCGTGCAGATGGAGGAGCTGGGCAAACTCAAGGCGCGTATTGAGGCGGAGAACCGTGCGCTCATCTTGCGCGACAAGGACAACACGCAGCGCTTCTTGGAGGAAGAGGCGGAAAAGATGAAGCAGGTGGCCGAGGAGGCCGCGCGGCTGAGTGTGGCTGCCCAGGAGGCAGCCCGGCTTCGGCAGCTGGCGGAAGAGGACCTGGCACAGCAGCGGGCACTGGCCGAGAAGATGCTCAAGGAAAAGATGCAGGCAGTGCAGGAGGCCACGCGGCTCAAGGCAGAGGCGGAGCTGCTGCAGCAGCAGAAGGAGCTTGCGCAGGAGCAGGCCCGCCGGCTGCAAGAGGACAAGGAGCAGATGGAGCAGCAGCTGGCGCAGGAGACACAGGGCTTCCAGCGCACCCTGGAGGCAGAGCGGGCGCGGCAGCTAGAGATGAGCGCGGAGGCCGAGCGGCTGAAGCTGCGTGTGGCAGAGATGAGCCGGGCCCAGGCCCGAGCGGAGGAGGACGCCCAGCGCTTCCGGAAGCAGGCGGAGGAGATAGGGGAGAAGTTGCACCGCACAGAGCTCGCCACACAGGAGAAGGTGACGCTGGTGCAGACGCTGGAGATCCAGCGGCAGCAGAGCGACCAAGATGCTGAGCGCCTGCGAGAAGCCATTGCTGAGCTGGAGCGTGAGAAGGAGAAGCTCAAGCAGGAAGCCAAGTTACTACAGCTCAAGTCGGAGGAGGTACTGGCCCCTCATGCTTGTGGGCTGGTCGGGTGGGGGGTCCCTGGGCTGAGGTCCTTGACCACCTTCCCCCTCCACAGATGCAGACGGTGCAGCAGGAGCAGCTGTTGCAGGAGACGCAAGCCCTGCAGCAGACCTTCCTCTCTGAGAAGGACAGCCTGCTGCAGCGGGAGCGCCTCATAGAGCAAGAGAAGGCCAAGCTGGAGCAGCTGTTCCAGGATGAGGTGGCCAAGGCGCAGAAGCTGCGTGAGGAGCAGCAGCGACAGCAGCAGCAGATGGAGCAGGAGAAGCAGCAGCTGGTGGCCAGCATGGAGGAGGCTCGCCGGCGGCAGCGGGAAGCCGAGGAGGGCGTGCGGCGCAAGCAGGAAGAGCTGCAGCGGCTGGAGCAGCAGCGGCAGGCGCAGGAGAAGCTGCTGGCCGAGGAGAACCAGAGGCTGCGTGACAGGCTGCAGCGGCTGGAGGAGGAGCACCGGGCCGCGCTAGCACACTCGGAGGAGATTGCGGCCTCGCAGGCTGCGGCCAACAAAGCCCTGCCCAATGGCCGCGATGCGCCCGACGGCCCAGCCCCAGAGGCGGAGCCTGAGTACGCCTTTGATGGCTTGCGGCGGAAGGTGCCGGCCCAGCGGCTGCAGGAAGTGGGGGTCCTGAGTTCAGAGGAGCTGCAGCGGCTGGCACAGGGCCGCACCACGGTGGCCGAGCTGGCGCAGCGGGAGGACGTGCGCCGCTACCTGCAGGGCCGCAGCCCCATTGCGGGGCTGCTGCTGAAGCCAACCAATGAGAAGCTGAGTGTGTACACTGCCCTGCAGAGGCAGCTGCTAAGCCCGGGCACAGCGCTCATCCTGCTCGAGGCCCAGGCAGCCTCGGGCTTCCTCTTGGACCCCGTGCGCAATCGGCGGCTGACTGTCAACGAGGCTGTGAAGGAGGGTGTGGTGGGCCCCGAGCTGCACCACAAGCTGCTCTCGGCCGAGCGCGCAGTCACCGGCTACAAGGACCCCTACACCGGGGAGCAGATCTCCCTCTTCCAGGCCATGAAGAAGGGCCTGATCGTGCGGGACCACGGCATCCGCCTGCTGGAGGCCCAGATCGCCACGGGCGGCATCATCGACCCCGTGCACAGCCACCGCCTGCCCGTGCACGTGGCCTACCAGCGCGGCTTCTTCGACGAGGAGATGAACCGCGTCCTGGCCGACCCGAGCGACGACACCAAGGGCTTCTTCGACCCCAACACGCACGAGAACCTCACCTACCTGCAGCTGCTGGAGCGCTGCGTGGAGGACCCTGAGACAGGCCTGTGCCTCCTGCCACTCACAGATCAGGCTGCCAAGGGTGGTGAGCTAGTCTACACCGATTCAGAGGCCCGGGACGTGTTTGAGAAAGCCACCGTGTCTGCACCATTTGGTAAGTTCCAGGGCAGAACCGTGACCATCTGGGAGCTCATCAATTCCGAGTACTTCACGGCAGAGCAGCGGCGGGACCTGCTGCGCCAGTTCCGCACGGGCAAGGTCACCGTGGAGAAGATCATCAAGATCGTCATCACCGTGGTCGAGGAGCATGAGCAGAAGGGGCAGCTCTGCTTCGAGGGCCTGCGTGCCCTGGTGCCCGCCGCCACGCTGCTGGAGAGCGGCGTCATCAACCGTGACCTCTTCCAGCAGCTGCAGCGGGGCGAGCGCTCCGTGCGAGAAGTTGCTGAGGTGGACGCTGTGCGGCGCGCCCTGCGCGGCACCAATGTCATCGCGGGCGTGTGGGTGGAGGAGACAGGGCAGAAGCTGAGCATCTATGAGGCCCTGAAGAAAGACTTGCTGCAGCCAGAGGTAGCGGTGGCCCTGCTGGAGGCCCAGGCCGGCACCGGGCATGTCATCGACCCTGCCACAAGCGCCCGGCTGACTGTGGACGAGGCCGTGCGTGCTGGTCTGGTGGGGCCCGAGCTGCACGAGAAGCTGCTGTCGGCTGAGAAGGCCGTGACGGGCTACAAGGACCCGTACTCGGGACAGACCGTCGCCCTGTTCCAGGCCCTGAAGAAGGGCCTCATTCCCAGAGAGCAGGGTCTGCGTCTGCTGGATGCCCAGTTGTCCACAGGTGGCATCGTGGACCCCAGCAAGAGCCACCGCGTGCCTCTGGACGTTGCCTACACCCGGGGCTACCTGGACAAGGAGACCAACAAAGCCCTGTCGGCGCCAAGGGACGACGCCAAGACCTATTTCGACCCCACGTCACGGGAGCCGGTCACCTACGGTCAGCTCCAGCAGCAGTGCCGGCCGGACCCGCTGACCGGGCTGAGCCTGCTGCCGCTCTCAGAGAAGGCCGCCCGGGCCAGGCAGGAGGAGGTTTACTCTGAGCTTCAGGCCCGTGAGGCCTTCCAGAAGGCCACGGTCGAGGTCCCTGTGGGCAGCTTCCAGGGCAGGACAGTGACCATCTGGGAGCTCATCAGCTCCGAGTACTTCACGGAGGAGCAGCGGTTGGAGCTGCTGCGCCAGTTCCGCACGGGCAAGGTCACCGTGGAGAAGATCATCAAGATCCTCATCACCATCGTGGAAGAGGTGGAGACCACGCGGCAGCAGAGGCTCTCCTTCAGCGGTCTCCGCGCCCCGGTGCCGGCCAGTGAACTCCTGGCCTCTGGAGTCCTCAACAAGACCCAGTTTGAGCAGCTCAAGGATGGCAAGACGTCAGTTAAGGACCTGTCAGAGGTGGACTCCGTGCGGACGCTTCTCCGGGGCAGCGGCTGCCTCGCTGGAATCTACCTGGAGGACTCCAGGGAGAAGGTGACAATCTATGAGGCCATGCGGCGTGGCCTACTCAGGCCCAGCACGGCCACACTCCTGCTGGAGGCCCAGGCAGCCACTGGCTTCCTGGTGGACCCAGTGCGGAACCAGCGACTGTACGTCCATGAGGCAGTGAAGGCGGGCGTCGTGGGCCCCGAGCTGCACGAGAAGCTGCTGTCGGCAGAGAAGGCCGTGACGGGCTACAAGGACCCGTACTCGGGCAGTACCATCTCCCTCTTCCAGGCCATGAAGAAGGGCCTGGTCCTCAGGGACCACGGCATCCGCCTGCTGGAGGCCCAGATCGCCACGGGCGGCATCATCGACCCCGTGCACAGCCACCGCCTGCCCGTGCACGTGGCCTACCAGCGCGGCTTCTTCGACGAGGAGATGAACCGCGTCCTGGCCGACCCGAGCGACGACACCAAGGGCTTCTTCGACCCCAACACGCACGAGAACCTCACCTACCTGCAGCTGCTGGAGCGCTGCGTGGAGGACCCCGAGACCGGCCTGCGCCTGCTGCCGCTGAAGGGGGCGGAGAAGGAGGTGGTGGAGACTACGCAGGTGTACACGGAGGAGGAGACTCGGAGGGCGTTTGAGGAGACACAGATTGACGTCCCTGGCGGTGGCAGCCAGGGCAGCTCCACCATGTCCTTGTGGGAGGTGATGCAGTCGGACCTGGTCCCCAAGGAGCAGCGGGAGCAACTGATGGCTGACTTCAAGGCGGGTCGGGTGACCAAGGAACGCATGATCATCATCATCATTGAGATCATCGAGAAGACTGAGATCATCCGCCAGCAGAACCTGACTTCCTATGACTATGTGCGCCGCCGCCTCACTGCCGAGGACCTGTACGAGGCGAAGGTCATCTCCCGCGAGACATACAACCTGCTCCGGGAGGGCACCAAGAGCCTCCGTGAGGTGCTCGAGGCAGAGTCCGCCTGGCGCTACCTGTACGGCACAGGCTGTGTGGCTGGCGTCTACCTTCCCGGCTCCAAGCAGACGCTGAGCATCTACCAGGCTCTCAAGAAGGGGCTGCTAAACGCCGAGGTGGCCCGCTTGCTGCTGGAGGCCCAGGCGGCCACGGGCTTCATGCTGGACCCAGTGAAGGGTGAACGGCTGACAGTGGACGAGGCTGTGCGGAAAGGCCTCGTGGGACCCGAGCTGCACGACCGGCTGCTGTCAGCAGAGCGGGCTGTCACCGGCTACCGCGACCCCTACACAGAGCAGACCATCTCGCTCTTCCAGGCCATGAAGAAGGACCTGATCCCCGCGGACGAGGCCCTGCGGCTGCTGGACGCCCAGCTGGCCACGGGCGGCATTGTGGACCCGCGCCTGGGCTTCCACCTGCCGCTGGAGGTGGCCTACCAGCGCGGCTACCTCAACAGGGACACGCACGACCAGCTGTCAGAGCCCAGCGAGGTGCGCAGCTACATGGACCCCTCCACGGACGAGCGCCTCAGCTACACACAGCTGCTCCGGCGGTGCCGCCGTGACGAGAGCACCGGCCAGCTGCTCCTGCCGCTCTCAGACACCCGCAAGCTGACGTTCCGCGGGCTGCGTAAGCAGATCACGGTGGAGGAGCTGGTGCGCTCGCAGGTCATGGACGAGGCCACCGCACGGCAGCTTCAGGAGGGCCTGGCTTCCGTGGAGGAGGTCACCAAGACCCTGCAGAAGTTCCTCGAGGGCACTAGCTGCATCGCTGGTGTGTTCGTCGATGCCACCAAGGAGCGGCTGTCTGTGTACCAAGCCATGAAGAAGGGCATCATCCGCCCGGGCACAGCCTTCGAGCTCCTGGAGGCGCAGGCGGCCACTGGCTATGTCATCGACCCCATCAAGGGGCTCAAGCTGACCGTGGAGGAGGCTGTGCGCATGGGCATCGTCGGCCCCGAGTTCAAGGACAAGCTGCTGTCGGCCGAGCGCGCGGTCACCGGTTACAAGGACCCCTACTCCGGGAAGCTCATCTCCCTCTTCCAGGCCATGAAGAAGGGCCTGATCCTGAAGGACCATGGCATCCGCCTGCTGGAGGCCCAGATCGCCACAGGCGGCATCATCGACCCCGAGGAGAGCCACCGGCTGCCCGTGGAGATGGCCTACAAACGCGGCCTCTTTGACGAGGAGATGAATGAGATCCTGGCCGACCCCTCGGATGACACCAAGGGCTTCTTCGACCCCAACACGGAGGAGAACCTCACCTATCTGCAGCTGATGGAGCGCTGCGTCACGGACCCCCAGACGGGGCTGTGCCTCCTGCCGCTGAAGGAGAAGAAGCGAGAGCGGAAGACGTCCTCCAAGTCGTCCGTGCGCAAGCGCCGTGTGGTGATCGTGGACCCTGAGACCGGCAAGGAGATGTCGGTGTACGAGGCCTACCGCAAGGGCCTCATCGACCACCAGACGTACCTGGAGCTGTCGGAGCAGGAGTGTGAGTGGGAGGAGATCACCATCTCCTCCTCGGACGGCGTGGTCAAGTCCATGATCATCGACCGCCGCTCTGGCCGCCAGTACGACATCGACGAGGCCATCACCAAGAACCTCATCGACCGCTCTGTGCTGGACCAGTACCGCGCCGGCACGCTGTCCATCACCGAGTTTGCCGACATGCTCTCGGGCAACGCCAGCGGCTTCCGCTCTCGCTCGTCCTCCGTAGGGTCCTCCTCCTCCTATCCCATCAGCCCGGCCGTCTCCAGGACCCAGCTGACCTCCTGGTCCGACCCCACCGAGGAGACGGGCCCTGTGGCCGGCATCCTGGACACGGAGACGCTGGAGAAGGTGTCCATCACGGAGGCCATGCACCGAAACCTGGTGGACAACATCACGGGGCAGCGGTTGCTGGAGGCGCAGGCCTGCACCGGGGGCATCATCGACCCCAGCACCGGCGAACGCTTCCCTGTCACCGACGCTGTCGACAAGGGCCTGGTGGACAAGATCATGGTGGATCGCATCAACCTGGCCCAGAAGGCCTTCAGTGGCTTCGAGGACCCGCGCACCAAGACCAAGATGTCGGCCGCCCAGGCCCTGAAGAAGGGCTGGCTCTACTACGAGGCAGGCCAGCGCTTCCTGGAGGTGCAGTACCTGACCGGCGGCCTGATCGAGCCCGACACGCCGGGCCGTGTGCCCCTTGATGACGCCCTGCAGCGCGGCACGGTGGACGCCCGCACTGCCCAGAAGCTGCGTGACGTGAACACGTACTCCAAGTACCTCACCTGCCCCAAGACCAAGCTCAAGATCTCCTACAAGGACGCGCTGGACCGCAGCATGGTGGAGGAGGGCACCGGGCTGCGGCTGCTGGAGGCCTCTGCCCAGTCCAGCAAAGGCTACTACAGCCCCTACAGCGTCAGCGGCTCCGGCTCCACAGCCGGCTCCCGCACCGGCTCGCGCACTGGCTCCCGGGCTGGCTCCCGCCGCGGCAGCTTCGACGCCACTGGCTCCAGCTTCTCCATGACCTTCTCCTCTTCCTCCTACTCCTCCTCAGGCTACGGCCGCCGCTTTGCCTCAGGGCATCCGACCTCCCCGGGGGGCCCCGAGTCTGCCAAGGCCTAATGCCCGCCTGCCCCTTGCCCTTCCGCTCTGCATGTGGCCAGGCTCCCCACCCAGTCGCTGGGTCTGTCTGTCTTTCTTTAATGTTTAAAGGTGTCTTCCTCCTAAGCGGTGCCTAAATTTTAACCAAAAAGACCAGACTAATATATTAATATGTGTGCTGTCCAGACAGCCTGTGTCTCGGGGGAGAGGGCTGGTCCAGCTCCACTGACCACCTCACCCCCTGGTCCTTCCTCCTCTCTACCTGCCACTCACCACAGCCAGGTGCCTTGGAGGTCCAGAGCCGGGCCCCCAACCCAGCCCTTCCATCTCCCCAGGGAGGGTTCTATCTAGGCCAGGCCTCCCCACCCCGTAGGCTGGCCCCCCCAGATCCCGCTGCTCTGGGCAGCGGGGCACCCGTCCCGAGCAGGGCCCTCAGGGGCCAGCATTCCCTCATCTGTTTCCAGGACTGACCTGCTGGCTCAGTGGGCCTTGCATGGAGGGAGGGGTCCTGGGTCAACCATCTCTCCCTGCCTGCCCAGAGAAGCCCCTTCCCCATGGGAAGATGAGGGTCCAGTCTGCAGAACCAGCTGGCCCGGGCTCTGTTCCCCGCCTCCAGCCTCTAGCCCCTGACCCTTTTCCCTGAGACCCCAGACTTTGGCTTTTGCCTTTCAGCCTCAGCTCCTAGTAAGTGCCTTCTGTGTTCCCCTTACGCCCAGGCCCCGAGGACCCAGGCCGGGGTGGGAGACAGGCCCTCCGGGTGAATCTGGGGCTGCCAGCCCTGGCTGGGGGTGCCTGGGGCTTCTGCAGGCTCTTTGCCCCCGTGGCCCCTCAAGCCTCTGAGGCCCAGCCTGGGGGGCCCACCTGCCTGCCTCTCCCAACGAGCCTTGGCCCTTTGTTGGGCCCGGGAATGCTGGCTGGACTGCCCGCGGAGTCAGGCCGCCCTGCCCGGCGCCACCCCCGCCCCACCCAGCCCCGGCCTCGGAGGCTCCCCCGCCGCCCCGCCCCCCGCCTTCCCCCCACTGAGCTTTGCATGTTCCACTAACCGGCCGGCGCGGGCGGGGGCTTCCCGTGGCCTCAGGGCGGAACACTAACCCGACCATGGGCGGGCCTGCGGGGCCCCCTCAATAAAAGCAATTCCACTCCTCCCGTGGGTCTCGCCTCGCTCGTTTGTCATGGGGTCAGGTGCGCGCGGGGGTACAGTGGATGCTGTACGCCTGGGCCGGAGCTGGGCTGCGGGGTCCTGGCCTGAGGCCACGTGTCTCCGGCAGGAGAAACCCAGGCTGAGGGGCCCCAGCAGACAGCAGGGGCGGCGGGCGGGGGGGGGCCAGGCGAGCGCCTGCGGGTCCTGTCCCTGCTGTCCATCCCGGTGGTGGGTCGTCACCACTCAGCCCTGTAGTGTGGGTTTGTGGCTGGCACTTCCCTCTGAGGCAGGGCATCACGTGCTCCTGCGTCAGGTGGTCACCGACTGTACCCCCTTGCGTGGAGGTAAGGTGGCTCCTGTTGTCTGGGGGGACCCTCCTGAGGGGGATACAGCCGAGAGCCCCAGCGGCCGGCGCCCCGCCCCTCGTGCACTTTGTTCCAGCCTCGGCGGGGTTCTGCCCCGACACTTAACGAGGGCTGAGGGGCGGCCACAGCCCCGTGGAGCTGCTGCCCGTCTCCCACTCTGCGGGGGTGGGCGGTGGCCGGGCACCGCCTGTGGCCTGCGTCCTAGGGTTGGGCTCTGCTCCCCTGGACCACCCACCGTGGAAGCTGGGCCCGGAAGCCCTGAGGTACCGCCCCCGCCTCCTCCCTGCCAGGACGCTGGCCACTCCGGGCAGGAGCCACGCTGGTGGCAGCCTCAGCGGCAGGTCGAGTGGGGCACGTTCCTGCTCTGTCCCAGGTGGCAGTGGGCAGCCCCACCGAGCCCTCCCAGCCTGAAGGGACGCACCCCAGTGGGCACTGAGGGTTGGGAGGGTGGGCTGCTTCCGCCCCTTGGTTCCCACCTACTGGGACCATGACTCCAGGTGACGATGCCCCACGCACTAAGGGACAGTGCCGCGGTCCTACAGGGTGTCTGCTGCTTCCCTATGAGGATGCCCCACATTCTGCCCACCAGCAGCTTCCGCAGGCTCTCCTGTCCTGTACCTGGACCACGCTGGGGGGCCAGCGTCCCCCGGCCAAGTTGTCTGGCCCCCCGTGGCTTGGCGCCTCCTCTGCACATGGAACACGAGACCGCCCTCCCTGGGACCCCCCAGTGCCTCCTCCCTGTTGTCTAGTCCTGCTCCTCAGGTCCCAGCCAACCGGTCAGACGATTTCCCGGGGTGGCCAGGAGTCCCTGCCACGGGCTGCGCTCCTGCGCACACAGGGCAAAGGTCCAGTGGCTGCGGCAGCTCCTGCCGGCCCGAGCGGAGCCCCTGGTGTGCTCGGGGCGTCCAGACATTCACGTCAGCTCAGACCCACGTTGGGTGGCCCGTGTCCCGGTGCACAGTTGTCCACATCAGTGGCTGTAGTTCACTCCTTTTAAAGAAGATCTCAGAGTCACTGCTGTCTTGGGAGCAGGGACACCTGGGAAATCTTACCCTTTACGGGCTCTGCTCTGAGGCTGGCCGAGCTGGGGAAGCGGCCAGGTGATTGTATTTCCCACGGGGGCGGCTGACCGCAACAGTATGTGCTTTAGAGTTTCTTTTGGTTCTATTTAAGGGGGGCCCTCTGCAATTACTCTCTGGAGGGCGGCCTCTTGTAGTCCAGGCTTCCCCCACCAGGTGCGTGTCCTGGGAACCCTCTGCACCAGCTGGCGTTGTTGTGAGAGGCTGTGTTCTGCCTCAGGGATTTTTCTCTCTCCCTTTTTTTTTTGAAGACTCGGTACGTTTGCCCGTTTCAGGACGGGTGATTTGCGAGCCCACCCGCCCACACCACACGGAGTGCTCAGCAGTTTTTGACCAAAAACGGCAGGACCCCCGGGCCTCTCCCCGCTATCCATCCAGTCTCTCCCTGAGCAACTTTCTCTTTTGTTCCCTGATGAAAAAAAAAAAGTCCTCAAAGGGAAAGGAAAAAACTGGCAGAAACATTAAAGGCATCAAAATCAACGAGTTCAAACAAACTTTTGAGCAGTGGAAAAAAGTCTCCCCACGTGTCAAATGGATGCATCGAACGGAGAGTAGTGTGAAGGTGCCCGAAGTTTAAACATGTAAGAGTAAATACACAACTTGTGATAATTCCAGGTGGTTTGGGTTCCCCCCATATGTAATACGCTAGTGGTCTTCAAGGTATGGCCCCCAGACCTCCAGCACCAGGAGCACTGGGAGTTCGGGCCTTGCAAATTCCTGGCCCCACCCCCGACCTACTGAGTCAGAAATTCGGAGGCTGGGCCCTGCAACCCGTGTCCGACGAGCCCCGCCGGTGTCAGGGCCGCTCTCGTCCGCCGCCCCGTTCGTGACTCAGAGCCCCGCGTCCTCCGCGCGTCCCCGGAGGCGGCCCGGCGGCTGCCGTGCACACCAGGCACGTGGACGACACACACAGCTCCCCCACCCCCCAGCTCCGGAAGCGGGAGGCCCGAGATCAGGCTGTCGGCAGGGTTGGCCCCTCCCGGGTGGGCCGGTGGCCGTCTCCCCGCGGTGTCCTTACCTGGTCATCCCTCCGTGTGCATCCGTCCTGACCTCCCCCTCTGATCAGGACACTGGTCACCTTGGATCGGGGCCTTACACTCGTGACCTCATTTTACCTTCATCGCCGGTAAAGACCATCTCCAAAGAGCCACATTCCCAGGTTCTGGAGGTCAGGACTTCCACCCAGGGCTCTGGGGGACACCTTCAGCCTTTCACGCTGTTGTGTGCCTTGTGCCCCCTCCTCCCTGTGTGCCCCCCGGGCCACCGCGCGCCAGTCTTCGTGAGCGCACTGCGGGCTGGCCAGCGGGCACTCTGCCTCCAGGTCCCAGCGGTGGAGGGTGCGGCCCCGGGCCGCTGGCACCCCCTCCGCTCAGGCCTGCTCCCCGGAAGCAGAGCCCGAGACGGCGGTGCAGGCGCACTGGGTTTAGTGAGGGCCTGCCGCCGGGGAGCGGGGCAGCCGGCAAAGACACGGCTCCGCTGAGGGCCAGAGAAGCCTCGTGCCCCAGCCCTCGGGAGTAGGAGCTCTTCGGGGACGAGGGGTCTGGGCGGGTCGCCCGCCCGTCGCTCGCTGGCTGTGGGCTGCCCGGAACGAGGCAGCTCCATCGGCCGAGGACAGTCCTCCAGCCGAGAGTGTCGGGGTGCGTGCGCGTCTGGGGGACACCGACCCCCCAGCGACAGCTCCAGGGGAGCAGCCACTTGGCAGTCCTGGGAAACCTGAAAAGGCCTCCCACGGTAACTCTCCCGGGTGAAACCTAACAAACACCTTCTCAGGTGGACTTCAGGCCTCAAGAAAGAAGAGCAGATCCTCGGGGGTGGGGTGAAGGAGGGCCTCAGCGTGCTGGCTGACACCTCCCCCAGCAGCTTGCTGATTCTAGAAACCAGAGCCGTGGGGTTAGCAGAATCTCGAGGGCAGGGAGGACCTGGACCTCCACAAGCAGAGGCTCTGAAACCGGGTCCTCAGCGGACCACACCCCATGAAAACGCAAACTGGAAAATCCCCATTGGCGATGGCGACAGAAAAGAAACAGGACTCTGTCTGGGCTCCGCGGGGAAAAGCTGCGACCGGGCAGGTGGTCTCAGGCCTCCGCAGGGTGTTCTGGGAAGACCCCGGGCAGAGCAGCCGCGTGAGCACAGCCTGCGGCCGGGGGCCCGGCGTGAGCCAACAGTCCCCGGAGGCCTTGCCTTCAGCGCCTCACAAGATTTCCAGAGGCAAGAACCCAGGCGTTCGAACCTGCTCTCACAGTTGGAAATTACAAGACAATTGAAAACAAGCCATTATGAACAAGTTGGCGGAAGCAAAAGTAGAATTAGAAACCAAAAGGCTTGGGATATTAGAATTTCTCCGTAAAGAACATACGTTAAGTCTGTTGAAGTAAGAGAAAATTTAGAATACAAGGGATCAAAGACTCCATCTAAGAAGACCAAGAAGATTGTAAAGGAGAATTTCTAGATGTGAAGCGCGGTCACATGGGAAACGAACCGGTGAAAGGGCAGACGGGGCAGCGGAAGGAGAGCACACTGGGGCGCGGCCCCGGCTCCACTCGGGCGTCGGAGACGCAAGAGGAAGCGGGGTACAAAGGAGGGTCAGAGACGGAGAGCAAGTTACAAAATAGTCGAACGTTCGTCTGACTGGACTTCCAGGAGAAGACCCTGGAGGAGATGGGAAGACGGACATTTTTGAAGAAAGAAGAGCTGATAATTGTTTCCCAAATGCATGAAAAATATGAATCGTTCTGTCCAAGAAGCACAGTAACATCCAGCGGGGGAAGGAAACAGCCGTATCAGCAACCCATGTTAGCAAAATCACAGAAAACTGAAGACAATGAGATAAGAGTTTAAAGCAGAGAGAAAAGACAGGTTACCTGCTGAAGAGCGACATCCACGCTGGAGCAGACGCCTCGTCAGCAAAAGCGAGAGCTTCTTGAAGTGGGTCCATGCACCAGGAGCTTGGGCGTCACCCTGGACCTCGTGGAAATGCAGAATCCTGAGCCCCGCCACTGCCCCGTGGCTCAGGATCTGCATTACAGCAACACACACTTTAAAGTAAACTAAAGTTTAGACTATTTCAAGATTTGCAGAAAAATAGTGACAATATAGAGAGTTCCCATACACCCGAGGCTCCGTTTCTCCTATGACGTCTTATATAACAGATAGAGCAGCCACAGGGTCAACTCATCTCAATTAATGAGCCAATATATTCTCATTAACTAAAAGCCGTACTTCATTCAAATTGCCTTATTATAGTTTTTACCTAATGTTCCTTTTCTGTTACGGGAGCTCATGCAGGACACCGCATTACACTGAGTCACCGCGTTACCTTGGGCTCCTCTTGGCTGTGACAGTTTCTCAAACTTTGTTTCAAAGAGCTGAGTTTTCAGGAATGCTAGCCCGGCGTTTTCCCACACTAACAGTTGGGAAGCATTGAGCTAAACTTACACCACGCTTTGCCACTTACGAAGCGGGGTGAATAATGGCATCTGCTCGTTCCGCCTCTAGTCGGCTTTGTACTGAAGGTTCTAGCCAGGGCAATAAGGCAAGAAAACCAGCCCTGTCTGGTGC